GTTCCTCCAGCTCCACACTGTGTTGTCTTTGACTCCAGTATCTGCAGTTCTTGCTATGTCTGGGTAAACATTTGAGACGCTGCAAACTAACAGCTATGGGCCGAGAGCTGGGTGGTGGGATTAAGTTGGGTGGCTGTTTTTGACCGATAAAGACATATAGGCTGAATGTGCTCCTTCGGTGTCATAAATATTTCTGTGTTCCTGTGTTAGTTAGATCTGTTGTGAGTGACTATGTCAGTATTTGTGTATGATTGTTTGTGTGAATACTGTGAATGTGAGAGAGTGAGTGAGTGTTTGTATATCTACATGTGCTGCATGTGTATATCCATATGTGCTGTGTGTGAGAGAGTGTTCATATGTTCATATCTTCTGGAATATTATGTCCAGTTCTGGTCGCCCAGTTATAGGAAGGATATTATTAAGCTGAAGAGTGTTCAGAAGAGATTTACCAGATTGTTGCTAGGTGTGGAAGGTTTGAGTTATAAAGAAAGACTGGATAGTTTAGGACTTTTTTCACAGGAGCACAAGAGGTTGAGAGATGACCTTAAAGAAGTTTATAAAGTAATGACGGGCATAGATAAGGTTAATGTTAGTTGTCTTTTCCCTAGGATGGGGGATTTCAAGAGTAGGGGGCATGTTTTTAAGGTGAGAGCAGAGAGAAATTTAAAAAAGACACATGGTAATTTTTTTACACAGAGGGTGGTTTGTGTGTGGAATGAATTTCCTGAGGAAGTGGTGGATGTGGGCACAATTATAATGTTTAAACGACATTTGAATAAGTACATGAATAGGAAAGATTTGGAGTGACAGGGGACAGGAGCAGGCAGGTGGGACTAGTTTAGTTTGGGATTATGTTCGGCATGGACTGGTTGGACTAAAGGGTCTGTTTCCATGCTGTGTGACGCTATGACTCTATGCGTCTGTGTACATGTGTATATGTGTCCATGTGTGTGTGAATGCTCGTGTATGTGTGTTTGTCTGCTTTTGTTGTGTACATATTCATGTGTGTGGGAATTTGTGTTTGAGTATATACACTTGTGTCAGTGTGTGCATTAAGTATGTTTGTGTGTGTAAGTGTACGTGCTTGTATATGTCTCTGTGTGCATGGGTGTGTATTGCGCTTCAGTTTTCATTTCTTACACAAATCCTATCATGCTTTGATGTTTAGTTCATTTTGTAAACTCTGGGATTCCCTTCCTAACCGTTTTCACCTCTCAAAACATTCTCCATGTTTAAGATGCTGGTTAAATCCTACTTCAATTTGCAATGTGTCACAGTGTGCTAAACCATTGACCACGGAGCAGGCATTAGAGGAATACAGTGATGTGTTTGCAGGTTTAGGATGTCTTCCTGATGAATATCATCTTGACTGAGAAGAGGAGACCATTTAAGCATCAACCTAGAAAGCTTTCAGTGGCTCTCAATGCCAGGTTTGAAAGACAAGATAGAAGAGCTGGAAAGAAGGGTAGTCAAGTAAGAGATACCTCCTACAGAATAGACTAACTGTGTGGTAGCAGTGAAACATGCTGAGACTTGACTCAAAGCATCTAGAAAGCTGAGAAGAGATCTCACTACCCAACACCAACCATCGAAGGAATTCTGCTACAGCTTGCAAAGGCAGAAGTCTTCATTACTGTAGATACAAAGGGCAAGAGAACTACTTTGTAACTACTTTCTGGGCAAAAAGTGGTTGCACATGCTGTTTGGCATTTCCATAGCTCCAGGGGAGTACTAATGCCAACACCATGAGAGAGCTATGATCTTCCCAAAATAGAAACGAAAAGTGGATGATCTGCTACTTTACAGATATGGAGACACAATATAAGAAGCTAATTTGCCAGATTATCCTAAAGCTGAAGACAAAAAAGTTGCAATTAAAGATGCCTGAAACCAATCAAGTACATAGGGTGTGTACTGACAGTAAAAGATTTGGAAAGGTGAGACCTGCATCAGAATCCATCAGATATCAAAGCAGATTGGTCAGATTTGTCAACTATTTAGCAAAGCTCTTGCCCAATTTGTCACAACAGTGGGAACTGTTCTGTCATCTCACTGTGAAGGATGTGCAGTGGTTCTGGGGCACAGAACAGGAAGCCATCAAGCAATTGATGATATCAACTCCAGTGCTGAAATACTATGGTGTAAGTGATGACGTGACCCAGCAGTGTGATATATCCTGGTGTTGGGAAAACAATTGGTTGCAATTTCATCCAGAACATTAAGCACAGAAAATGATTCTGTGCTCAAACCAAGAAAAAGTGCCTGGCTGTTGTTTTTGTTTGGGAAATTTTTCATTGATACCTATTTGGAAGGTGACAGCTGAGTCCAAATGCCAGCTGCTTCGAAGCATTTTCATCAAGATTCAGTCTGCTCCATGGTCTCGAAGAGGTAGTAGCTGGACATGACATAGAGTAAGGGAAAATGATGACATGCTGCTGAGAATAGCACTCCTCATGAAGGAAGTCAGATATGCCATCACAGGGAGTGAAAGCTTCCAAACCCATCGTGAAGCAGCAACTTGTCATGTTCTGGAAGTCATCAACTGAGCAGTGACACTGAATAGATCAGACAGGAATTTTGATCAACTGAAACAAACTACCCAACAATATGCAACACTCCAAATGTTGCAAGGAGTAATGATGAAAGGATATCCTGGTGGTCACAAGAGCGCAGAGGTGAACTGACAGTCCGATATGGTATATTGGACAAAGGAAATCAAATCAATATCATTAAGGAGTTGAGAGGAGGGATGCTGAAGTGCATCCATACACATCACCATGGGACTGAGTTGAATCTGAAGAAAGCAGGAGAAGTGCTGTACTGGCCAAGTATGAGCGTTGAAATCAAGGACCATATCAGGTAGCGCTGTGCTCGTAATGAGTACCAACCTGAACAAGGTATGGAGTCACTGGGGACATGTGACATCCAGGGCAGACCATGGATAAAGCAGGGAGTCGAATTCTTCACTGTTCCAGGATCTGGTTATCATGTCCCTGGAGATGACTTGTTTGAGGTAAACCAGCTGACCTCAATGACTACCAGTGAGATTGTTGAATGCCTGAATACACACTTTTGTTGTTACAGCTGAAAGGGCAGCTGGTGCCTGAATGAGGAATCAGTTATTTCAATAACAATAGGGAAATTCAACACCACACATCATCCCCATACTATCTCCCAGAAAAATGAAAAACGGTGAAGTGACAATGAAAATCACCAACAGAATTATAAAGAAATTGAGCAAATCCCACATAGATGTATTGGATAAACACACTGCCTGAAGGCACAGGGAATAGTCCAGTACAGAGAATAACGTGACACTGCACATCAACTGCTCTTCCAATAACAAAAAATACAACTGAAACCAGAAATAGTAACTGGTGTGAGTGAGAAAATCAAGATGAAGTAGCGGGAAGCCAAATTTCATTCCAACAAAACTGCCAAGCCATTGCTAGAGTTGAGCATTGGAGAGCCAGTCAGGGTACAAACCTTTAACTTTGTCAGCAAAGGTCAGCACAAGTGGCACAGCTTTGGACTTGCACCAATCAGTTGTCACCCACATGGTACAAGGTGGAAGTGAACGATCAGTTATATCGTCACAACTACAGGGCATTGTGTCCAACTGGAGAAACGTTTCCTTTACTGTAGGCAGCCCGTCAGGAAGCTATGAATACATCACCTACACAGACCACAGATCAATCATCAGTCCCTGAGGTCCACAGCACCACAACAATGGAAATGAAACACCACCAGGTATCACAGCAACAACAAATGACAGGGAAACAGCCCTTCACAGAGAAGAAGCATTGCCCGGATGAACAAACAATGACAATGCACACTTGTACCATTAGGAGACTGGCATGATTTAAAAACTATATGTGCAGTGGATGCACAGGTACTGACAAGCATAATAACTGGCTGATGCATGAGAACAGTGTGCATTGTGGAAAATCCAGATAACTCATGATGTAAATGATGCATACAGTTTCTTTTGGATGAAAAGGGGTATGTTTTTTGGATAAAATTGCAAAACTGTACTAATGTACCTTCTGGCTTACCATTGTAATGTAACCTCATCCATGAGGGACTCACTGCTGATATCCATCTTGCAAACAATTCAACAAAGACACAATCCAGCCCAAACTATTTCCTGTGAACTTGTAGCAGCTTTTTTGATAAATGATCCTATGAAACGTCATGGTGTTTTGCTATATTAACAGGGCTGTATAATTGCAAGTTGTTTTTATTGTGGAATGCCAAAAACAAGGGACTTTGATTATTAGGAGAGTCTGGAGAGGTTGGGACTGCTTTTCTCAGAGAAGGGGTCATTAAGGGGAGATGTAATGAAGAGTTTTGAATTTATGGTGGTTTCGATGGAGTAAATAAGGTGAATCTGTTTTCAGTGGCAAGAGAGTAGAGGGACACAGATTGAAGATTATCAGAAAACGAACCAGAGAAGGAAATGAGGAAAGTTTGTTTTTAAAATGCAACAAGTGGTTATATGATTTAGAATGTGCTGCGTTCACAGCCAAATATTATCGATGGCCAGGCAAGCACTTTCAAAGGACAAATTTTCATTGTATTTGAGACCCTGTGCTGTCTGATTCAATATTATTTCAATATTCTGAAAGGGAGTGGGATAAATTATATATTTAAAGGGTAAAGATTTGCCAGGCTATTGGGAAAGAGCTGAGGAAGTGGAATTCATTGCTTCAGTGCATTGCTCTTTCAAAGAGCTGACATGCACATAGTGTATGGAATGGCCTTCTTTTGTGCAGTTATGCGTCCCTGAACCGAGAATTGTCCACACTTTGACCAATTTCTCTCCAATGCCCTCACTTCCCCGTCCCAAAGCAATGCATTTCTACATTTTGATTTTGTCCATCCAAGCCATCACATTTTCTAGGTGGTATGCCTTTCATGATCTCTGTTTTTTTACCAAATACTCCTCTACTATTCCCATCACACTCCCAAAATATGCAACTTTTACCAATTTTACTGCCTGAAGCAAGTTCCTTTTAACACCAGCTTTCTCAAGAAGCCAGTCATTTACCTGCTTGACTGTCCCTGATACACTTGCTGAAGTGTGAAACCTTGCATTTCAAATGCTGTTTTTTGTGCCTCATCCCTCGTCTTAATAGGCCTACTCTCACAGCTGTATATTGTCAATGGCCATACAAGTGCTTTCAGAGGACAAATCTTCATTGTAATCAAGATTCTGTGCCTACTCCATAACCCTTTATGTGAGCTCACAACACATGGCCCTTGTTAAGTCTAGCATGAATTTCTTCGGTAAGTCTTTTCTCAGTCCATCCGCATCTCCTTTGTCTTATCAGCGTTGACCAGCACCTCCAATTTTCAACTATTCACAGTTCCCATTATCCCCCATCCAGCATCCACATCCTTCCCGATCTAATATCAAGCATCCCTTTGTCTGCTTCCCATTTATTCCTCCCTGTCTCATTCTCTGAAGATATTAACTCTCTTTCTGTCTCCACCGATGCTGTCAGACCTGCTGAGTTCCTCCAGCAATTCCTGTTGTTGTTGTACATAGAACATAGAACAGTACAGCACAGTACAGGCCCTTTGGCCCACGATGTTGTGCTGAACTTTTACCCTAAACCTAAGGTCTGTCTAACCTCCACCCCTATCTTATACTACCATCCATATGCCTATCTAATAGCCACTTAAATGCCCCTAATGAGGCCGACTCCACTACCCTCTCCTGCAATGCATTCCACATCCCTACCACTCTCTGAGTAAGGAACCTATTTCTGAAGTCTCCCCTATATCTACCTCCACTCACTTTAAAACTATGCCCCCTCGTAATAGCTACCTCCACCTCAGGAAAACGTCTCTGGCTGTCCACTTTATCTATACCTCTGATCATTTTGTCACCTATCAAGTCACCTCTCATCCTTCGTCATTGTTGTTGGTCAGGAAACTGGATCTCCAGTTAACCTGATCAGGGTAAATCACCCATTGTGAGTTATTTCCTTTAATTGTGATTGTAAGATCCTAAAAGTGGAAAGTGGTCCGTACCTGTCTCTGTTGGAGAATGTGCAAATTGAAGCCTCCAGAAGTATGGACCAATCTTCTGAGATGGTGCTACCCAGGAGAGCCTTGTCTCCAATTCACTCTTTATGAGATCTTGCTGTACACAGGTTAGCTGCCAAGTTTCCTGCATGACAGCAGTCAGTACATGTCACAAGTTCCTCATTGGTTGTCAAGTTTTTGTTTTGGGATGCCCAGATGTGGTGCAAGGTGTTATGGAAATGCGACTTATTTCCTTTAATAGTGATTGTGCTATGTGCTCTTTAACGTTTTAGATAAGAACGAATGCTTTACGCATCCAAACATTTGTGGGAAGGCAGCATGCAACAATCTGCCAGGTACCTTCGAGTGTAAATGTGCCACAGGATACGCCTTCAACTCCATCACGAAAGACTGCCACGGTAAGAGCTGGACAGAGATTTCACAACGGCCTGCAGCAACTTGCACAGAAACATCGGAAAATAGGAGCAGGCCATTCACTCCTTTAGGGAAGGAAATTGCCATCCTTACCTAGTCTGGTCTACATGTGACTCCAGACCCACAGCAAACATGGTTGACTCCTAACTGCCCTCTGGGCAATTAGGGATGGGCAATAAATGCTGCCTGGTCAGCGACGCCCTCATCCCTGTGAATGAATAAAGGAAAAAAAATGTCCTTCAATCCTGCTGTGCCATTCATTATGACTATGGCTGATCATCTAACTCGGTCCCCTGTTTCTGCTTTCTCCCTGCACCCTTTAACTGTAAGAACAATATTTCACTCCTCCTTGAAAACGATGTCTTGCCCCTCACCCGCTTTCTGTGGCAGGTTGCAATGAGTGTGACAGCTCAGTGTAATTGTGAGACTCAGACTGACGCTGAGTAGTGGCCTGATACCTTGTACATTCCTTCCCCCGATTAGAATTGCACAAGCATGTTGTGTTTCTCTGAGACGGGAAGTTAATTGGAAGTGAAGTTGGCTTCAGAAACATTTTATGCAGTCCCTAGGCTTCACTTGGCATCTGACCTTAAAAGCAGACACCCTATAGACTGGCATGCCAAAACCAGGAACCTTTGTTAGAACTGGGTCTGGGTTTTGCATCCACCCACGTGCAATTTTTTGCACATCACTTATCTCCTGCTACCCTTCACCTCACTGAGGAAACACCCCTGTGTGATTTATTTCCCCATCATTTGTCACCAGGAAGTGAGTTTGTTACCAGGCAAGGCCAGAGTTCATTGTTTACCCCTAGACACCAGGGAGCAAGGGGCTTCAGTAAAATGAATAGACTGGAGGAGATAGTATTGTTGTCCTAAGATCAGACAAGAAGAGGAGAGGTTTGATGGTTGCGCTGAAAGTCATGGAGGTTTTTAATAGAATCAGTGAGGAGAAACATTTTCTATTGACGGAAGGGCTGGTAATCAGCCAAAACAAATTTAACGTGAGTAGCAAAAGACCTAGAGAAAATATGAGGAGTTTTTTTTTAATGCATTGAGTGTTGTGATCTGGAATATGTGGCTTGAGAGGGCAGGGAAAGCAGATTTAATAATGGGAAATTGAATAAATACTTGAAGAGGAGAAATTTGCATGGCTGCAGGGAGTGAATGGACACGGTGGGACTAATTAGATATCTTATTTCAAAGAGTCAAGACAGGTACAGTGGGCTGAATAGCCTCCTGCACCGGAACAATCCATGAATTGGTGCCTGTCTAGGTTACAGCAGGTGATTGGGTAAGATGGAGTTGCCTAGAGGTGATGATGGAGGTTCTGTCATTTCGATTGGACAGTAAATGTCAGCCATTCCCAAGTGCCATAAATTAATTTTTAAAAGTATATTGTGGGTGTGAAGTCAGATATGAGCCTGGGCTGGGTAATCAGGGCAGATTTCTTTCCCTGAAGAATGTAGTGAAGCACTTATAGAATTACCCCATAATATTGAAGCAGGCCATTCGGTCCATCTAGTCCACACTGATCAACCAAAGAGCATCCCACCCAGATTCGTCCATCCCTGTATCCCTACATTTCGCATGGCCTATCCATCTAGCCTGCACATTCCTCGACACTATGGGCAATTTAGCATGGCTAATTCACCTTAACCTGCACACTTTTGGACTGTGGGAGGAAAACAGAGCTGCCGGAGGAAACACACGCAGATATGAGGAGAGCATGCAAACTCCACACGGCCAGTTGCCCAAGGCTGGAATTGAACCACTGTGAGGCAGCAATGTTAACCATGGAACTATCGTGCTGCCTGATTTTAGATTTTGTTTTGATGACCATTTATTGTGGTGCAAAACTCCAGATTTTTCACACCTTGTTGCAGTTTAATTTGATGTCATTTCCTGTCGATCCTACACCACAGTCATCACACTGTGAGCATTCTGTCATGTTGGAATGAGATCTCCTGCTGCACACTGTCTGAACGTTTATATCGGAAAACATGGTGAGAAATTGTATACAGCTTCCAACTGATGAATTCTGTGTTATATTTCGTTAGTGGTTCTGTGAATTTACATTTTTTTCCGTCAGAAGCATTTTTTTTAAATGAAGGAGGAAAATGTATTTCTAAAGTTTGATCTTCTCCAAATAGATATCGATGAATGTGCAGCAAACGTGTGTAGATTTGGCTGTGTGAATTTCCCCAGCAGCTACTCCTGCTTCTGTGACGGGAGGAAAGGAGAGAGATTATCTGCCGATGGTCAGAGTTGTCAGGTGAAGGAAGAAATAATGTGCACCTTTCACAATCCCAGACTGTTCCCTAGTGCTGAACAGACAATGAAGTATTACAGACGTCACTGTTGTAATGTAGGAAATGCCACAGCAGCTAATTTAGGCACAGCAAGCTCCCAGAAACATGAGTGTGATCTTGATCAGGTTGTCCCCTGTCCTGTCTGGATGTTGGTGGAGGGATATAACCAACCAGGGCAGTGGAGAGACCTCTTCACATTTCACCATCAAATGTACATGTGCAGAGTAAGACTGACCTCTGAGAACCAGCTTCCAGTGCTGTGGCATTTCCCATCCTGAACAGAGCACTGCCAACTGTCACACCTCAGTCTGGAAGTCTGTTCCCACAGCCTCCAATTGACTTGTGGTTATATCCAGGTTTGGGGTTGACACACATGGGATGATGCCTGGTTCTTAGTAATTCTTGTATATTTTATTGAACACAGTAACTTTTAACTATGTACTGGACAAGACCTTCATCAGAGCTTGTCTGTTTTTCTCTGCCTGCCTTATCTAAACCGAACTTACCTTGTACACCTTAGTTAAATCATCAGATTCCGTCTAGCAGTGTAGTCGAGGAAGTCACGAGAATTTACTTCATTGATAAGGTGGATTATCTTATTTACATAATGTAAATGTCGTTGGGTCCGATTTACTCGCTCATTTACTGGGATTCCTTTTACGCTAATAATGGGACGTGGCATACCATGGGATATGGTTTATGATTGTTGAAACATAAGATATATGTGCAATTCTAAGGCGCCCATCTTTCCCTCTAATTTCCTGAGTAACTTTACATTTCTTGAACGTCAACGTTCGCACACGGGTTTAAACTCCACTTTGGAAGTGCAAATGGTAAAGAAGTTAGTACGTCCCTGATTACAGACGGCCCACTTGTACGCCCCCGATTACAGATGGCCCACTTGTACGCCCCCGACTACAGACGGCCCACTTGTACTTCCCTGATTACAGACGGCCCACTTGTACGCCCCCGACTACAGACGGC